ATAGAAACACTATTACCTTCTACAGTTTTTAAACTGGCTTCAATTTCATTAACCATAATATCTTTTTGATTTAAATTTTATCTTCTTCTTTACCTTCATTTTCTATTTCAAAACTATCTTCATTGATATTTATTTTTCCATCTTTGTATTCTTTTATACTAATCTTAATTGATTTATTTGGAGATGGTCCTTCTTCTTTTTGTTTCCTTTTCTCTTGTGACTCTTCTATACTTTCTGTTGATAGTTTCTTTGGTTTTAAGACAAGTTTCATTGATGCAAATAATGTAAATTGTTTTGAGGTTAATATATCTCCAATACAAAAAAAAGTTTCATAAGTTAATTTTCTAAGGTCTATCGCTCTTATTAAGAATTCATTTCTATTAGATTCTTTAAGATAAGGATTATTTACAAGAAGGTGATGTGGTTGTACTTCACTTCGATTAACCAACATAATAATAAACTTATAAAAAATATGAGGGATTATCATTTGATCGACTTCTTTTAATATATTAAGTAAAATACTCCATATGTGAATAATATTATCAATCATATTTAATTGGTCTTCAATAGAATCAATTTTAATTTGGAAATTTAATGAGACGTACATACTATTTAATTCTTTTTCTAATTTTTTTATATAAGCCTTTAAAGCAGATTCTTTTGTTGGAATACTTTTAAATTCTTTCTCAAAAACAATAGCCCCTTTTTTAATCATTTCAACTAAGTCATGATACGACATAATTTTCTTGGTAGTTTTTAAAGACCTTCCCATCTTTCTTTTTGGTCTTTTTTCCTTTTGTTTAATTTTAAAGATTTCTTCGTTTTTTTTTCTCTCTATTTTTATTTTCCTTAATCACACGTCATATCACTTCCCTTAAAAAATTCTTGTATTAAAACAAAATAATTCTTTTTAAAGAAAAAAAATCAATTAAAGTTTTTTGAGATTTCTTTCTTCTAATTTTTTTATATTTTGACTTTTTTTCTTTTCTTAAAGAAAAAATTAGTTCTCAGCTTTTGCATACTTATCATTATAATTAGCAATAGAAATAATAACAAAAGCTGCTCCGATGATAAAAGTAGTATCTACTTGTGTTCCAAAGATAAAAATAGAGCATATTGTTGTTAATACAATGGCACATCCAATGGAAAATCCTTTAACAATATTATCAGCATATGTCATAACTAATGCCACAAAAATTCCTCCAACCCCTTGAATAATAATTAATAAAACAGTAATATATGACCATCCACCAAAAAATCCATTATTGAGTATTGAATTGCTATCAAATATGAATGTAGATAAAAGAGCAAACCCACATCCATAAACACATAATTGAATATTTCTTTCCCAAATATTTAATGGTTCAGTTCCACTTGCTTTATTTTTTAAGATCTTTTCCATATAAACACCACTGAACCCAGAACAACATGCCATTACTAAACTTAAAATAATTCCAAGTAGGTTGTTTTCGGTTTCATTCTTTTTTTCACTTGAGTAACGATTTGTACTAATTTCAACAAGAATTACTCCTGTAACTAATAACGCCAATGCCCTCCATTGAGCAACTGAAAGTTTACGCCCAAGGAATAACACTGAAAACAGTGCAGTAGTAAATACTTTTAATTGAATGATAACAGTGTAAACAGCTGCTTGTGTGTTTTGAAGGATAATATAAAGAAGCATATTTTGAATAAAATAAATAAAACCAGGAACTGATGCGATAATGGACGTTTTGATTAAATAAACAACGTGTTGAAGTAAATTTTCTTTCTTATGAACAAATTTTAACATGACCAAACAAATTAAAAACTTTAATATTTCATTAAACACAATTGTTGATGGGATTGAGTATGTCTCATGTAATACACCTCTTGAGTATCTTCCTAAAATTGATTGAATAACAGTTTGACAGCATAATAAAACAAGAAAAATTAAGCTAACTACACTTGAATTCATTTTCTTGATTAAAAATTAATAAGATTAAATTTGCCTTTTTTTTTATCTTTCGTTTTGTGTTATTTTCACTTTCTTCTTTTTCTTTAACTGAAATAAAATAAATTACAAGTTTTTGGTTTATATTGAGTGATTTATTTTTTTATCAATCTTTTATGTTTAATTTTCTTATAATTTAGATATTAAAAACTTATTTATATTTTCATATTTGTAAAATAATATATTAGGCAAATACTACCCGATTCTAAGGTAACAATGAATAAGTTATGAAATTCATTCGTTTTTATTCAAAGTTTAACAAAGATAAGGAGATTTTTAATAAATAAATTTTTTTTATATTTGAAACAAGAAAATTTTGTAAATAAAGTTTAGATAAAATTAATTGAATATTAAAATAAAAATACCTAAAATATATTATTAAATTAAATTAGAAAAAAATAATGTATTTTATAATAAAAAGTGATAAATTATCTCTAAAACAAAATAAAATAAATGTTAGAAGAATATTGCATAAAAAAACTGAAATTTAGGAAAATATTGAATAAGTAATTGTTAGTGATTTTATCGAAACTATACATGACATATATTATAATAAAGGAATAGAAAAAATATAACCCTTGGAACTATATCAGAAACTAGAATAAAATGAAAAAAAAACCATTTAAAAAAGAAGAAGTATTTAAAGATAACTGAAAAAAAATAAAACATCTTCTCTAAGTTATGGCAACAGGAAAGAATAAGAAGTATAAGGCAGGAAACGTTAAGAAGGGAAGCAAGAGAAAGATTGCTGAGCCATTCTCCAAAAAGGAATGGTACAATGTTAAAGTACCAAAGAATTACAAGAGAAGAACCGTCGGACAAATCGTCGTTAACAAGACAGCTGGTACTAGAATTGCTTCAGAACAACTTAAGGGAAGAGTTGTTGAAGTAAATCTTGCTGATCTCATGGAAAATGAAAAATTTGGAGCATACAATTACAAATTTAAGTGTGAAGATGTTAATGGAAAAGATTGTCTTATGATCTTCCATGGACTTAAACTCACCACTGATAAATTAAGATCAATTGTTAAGAAGTGGTGTACTCTTATTGAAACATCAGTTGATGTTAAAACTACTGACGGACATTTAATTAGAATCTTCTGTATTGGATTCACCAGCAGAAAATCCAACCAAATCAAGAAGACTTCATATGCTAAAAGTGCTCAAATTAAAAAGATTAGAAAGATTATGAATAATCTTATCACAAAAGAAGCTGCTTCACGTGAACTTACACAATTTGTTGATTATCTCAGAGAAAACAAACTTCCAAAAGAAATTGTTGCCAAATGCAGCAAAGTTTTCTCAATGGACAATGTCTACATTCGTAAGGTCAAGATTCTTAAGGCTGGTAAAATTGATTCACTTAAACTCCTTGACCAACACCAAGATAATAGTGCACCAGTTGAAGCTGCCCCAGTTACTGAAGAAAAAGGAGAAGTTGTTGAAGCTTAATTTAAGTTTTGATTTGTCAAATAATACTTTTATTTTTTTATATTGTTAGATTAAAAAAAAAAAGAAATACTAAAAATTCAATCAAACTAAATTATTTCATCTCATCTAATGAATCTTTTCCTGATAATTTCTTGTCATGAGCTTCACTCCATGCCTTTGCAATTGTTCGTTTCATATCATCATCACCATCTTCATACATTTGTTTCATCATATCCATTAAACCAGCTTGTGGATCTTTATTATTCATTTTAGGTACTTTTACATCTTTGGCTTTTTCAAATGAAGACCATGACTCATTTTTCTCCTTTTGAAGAATTAGATTTATTCTGTTTGAAGACAATGTATACTTTGACTGTTCTGGAATAATTGCAGCGAATGTTTTTCGTTCAAAATGATAATTAACTCCCTTAAACTGTTCTACAAATACATCTACTGTGTCTGTATTAAAAGTTACTTTAATCTTGCTTTTATCGAAACTACCTATTTCGTTAAGAAAAAGCATAATTTTAACAGAGGAAGTTCTATCTTCCCAAGCTATTTCATTAAATGGGTGTGTTTGCATGAGGTACTTTAGTTAAATAATTAACAGTTTAAAAAGGTAGTGACACATCATATTGATGTCACCTCAACGTGGTCAACTATTCTTCAAAATTCTTAACAAGAACTGAATTATTCTATTGAAAACATCTTTTGAGCATTTTGTGTTGTTTGTTTGTAAACAACTTCTTCATTAACTTCTTTCACTCGAGCAATTTCTTTGATTATCCATGGAATCATTCCAGAATGACATGGTTTTCCCCTAAATGGTACTGGGGCCATAAAAGGTCCATCAGTTTCAACTAATATCCTTTCTAATGGAATAACTTTTACTAAATCCCTAATACTCTGACCATTTTTAAATGTAACAACACCAGCAATACCAATAAACGCATTTGGAAATTCTTGTATTATCCATTTAGCAAGTTCTATTGTTCCTGTGTAACAATGAACATCAACAAAAGTCATTGGATCAATTAACTCTTTCATAATTTGTTTAGTATCCTCATCTGCTTCTCGCACATGCAGTACAAGTGGTTTGTTAAATCGTTTGGCAATACTTAATTGTTTTTTAAAGGCAATTAATTGTTGGTCTTTATTAGCATAATTCATTCCAGGAAAGTCATGATAATCTAGCCCAGTCTCGCCAAGAGCAACACATTTCTTTGATTGAATCAATAAACTAATTTCTTCATAAATACTTTCATCGACTGAGTTACAATACAATGGATGAATTCCATATACACTGTAAACATGTTCCTCTAATTCTTTTGTCGGTTGGTGGCTTTCTTTGTCGCTTGCAACACATACACAACCTTTAAAGGTTGGCTTTTTATCTAACTTACAATAAGTTTCCTCAACTATCTTTAAATAATCTTCATAATTTGTTTTTTTGTACTTTTCAAGAATACAAGGAACGTTGCAGTGAGTGTCATAATATTCCATTTATTATAATTATTAAGTTTTTAAAACCCTTGTTATTTTAGAAAAATGTTTACATAACAATAACACTACATCAGTTTATTCTGGTATTTAAAAAGATTATCTTTTGTAATGTGTTGTTTTCTTGAATAGACTTTAATAACAAGACATTCTTTTAAAGATTAGTGAAGATTAAAAGAGAGATGAGAGAAAGATATAAAAATGAAAAGATGAATAAGGGTAGTGTGAGGGAAGCGAGAATGTAAGAAGGGATTTAATTTATTCAAGAAAATAAAATAAAGAAAGAGAAGAAGAAATAAAATAAAGTACAAAGTTTAATTAGAGGAGGTTAATGCTTTTAAAATTTGATCACAATCTGAATTAGTTAATTTATTAAAGTCGATTTCGAAATCATTTTCATCTGAAGTTGTGATTTTATTATTATTGAGTAAAAGAAGGATATTGTGGAGTTGTTTTGGGGAAGCGGATTGAAATTTAGTAAGAAGATCTGATTTTTTCGATGCTAAGAATTGGTATTGGTCAAGAAAGAAAGGGTCAATTAATTTATTGATATCACAGTGTTTAATTAAGTCAGGAGAATGGGATAGAAGATATGTGTCAAACTCTTTTCGAAGATTTTCATCACTAAAACGATCATAACCATTAAGTTTTATTGAGTGTTGGATTTGTTTAATTGTACCAAAAAACATGCACATAAATTTTTGTGTTTTTTCATCAAGTTGTTGAAACATGAGTTGTGTTTGAGGATTTGCTTTAAGAAGAATAACATGTTTATAAAGTTGAAATCTGTCTTCGTAAGGAATAGAGATATTTCTGTAGAATTGAGAAAAAGCAGTACTAAGTGTGACCATCTGATCAATTGGTGATTTACACCTCATTATTCTTTCATAATTTCCTTCCATAAACTTTGAAAAATTAGGATCAATTACAAGAACCATTTTGAGAAAAGTAATTCCATCTAATTTGTATTCTTCATTACTCATAGGTAGATAATGATTTCATAGATTAAAAATTCTAATCAAGAATTCAATAATTATAATAATATTATTGTTTTCTATTCTAAATCAAAAAGAGAGGAATTAAAACAAATATTCTAATTAAAACAAATTAATTAATGAAATTCAACAATCTAACATTATTATAAAAAAAAATAAAAAATAAAAAAAAAAAAATGAAACGATTGAAGGAATATAAAATTAATAGTTAGAATGAAAGAAAAACATAATTAAGGAAAAGAATAAATGAATTAAGTTAATAAAGAAATATTTAATGAAAAGAAATAAAAATGAATGAAAAGAAGTTATTTCATTAAAACACAATTTCAAAATAAATAAATATTTTTGTATTTTCAATGTGTTAAAATGATTATAATAAATAAAGATAAGAATAAAAATAAGAAAAAAATCAATTTTGTTTTAACATTAAAAGAAGTGATATTTAAAGAAGATTAATGTGAGATGATTTAATTGATAATGGTATGAATTTAATTAGATTTTGATGAATCATTGAGAAAAATACTTGATAAATCTGTATTATTATTTGAATTAGATGTACAAGAAGATTGAGAATTCAATTGTTGGATTTGTTTAATTACTAAAGGAGATAATGTATTAATAGAAGGATCATTGATAGAGATAGAAATATTATCAAAAGAAGTGGTATTATTTTGTGGATTGATTAAGGAAGAAGGAAGAAGAAATTGATTTGGTGAAGTAAGTAGTGAATATTGATGTCTTAAGTTAGTATTTTCAATGAGAATTGTTTGTAACTCATCTTGTAATAATTTTTTCTTCTCTTCAAAAGGGGGTTGAGGTAAAGAAGAGGATTGAGTATTTGAATTAGAAATAAGATATGATAATGTTTGATGTAATTTTTGTTCTAATAAAAAGATTCTTTCTTCAAGTTGAGAAACACGACGTATGAGTCTAACAACTTGGTCATTTTCAGGAGATTGAGATGTTAATTCTGGTAACATAACAGAAGAAGGAGTTTGCATGAAAGAAATAAGAAGAATATAATTAAAAGTTCTAAAAAGAAAGAAAAAGGAAAAGAATAAAAAAAATAATAAAATAACAAATATATTTTAAGAATAAAAAAAAACCAAATAAAATTTATCATAATTTGTTAATTGATTCATTTTCCTGTGACTTTATTAATAGCATAAGCAAGACACTCATTAAGAGTTTCTTGTGGGAAGTCAACAATATGTTTTGAATCTTGTAAGAGTTGTGCTGATTCTCTTGCTTCTTTAATATCATGTTCTGCAATATCATAAACTTGTTGCCAAGTAAGATCAGTAACACGTGCAACTCCATCTTTAATAGCTTGCATAGCAACATCAGCTGCTTCTTTTGGGAAAATACCTGGTTCATCCATAGTACCAATAATATTATCTGGATTAATACCTCTTTTTTCTGCAAATTCTGCAAGTGCTCTTGATGCTGCAATTGCCATATTATCTGTAATCTTTCTTGCTCTAACAATTAATGCACCTTTAAGAATACCTGGGAATCCAACTGAATTATTAACTTGATTAGGGAAATCTCCTCTTCCTGTTGCTACAATATATGCTCCTGCTTCTTTTGCTTCATATGGATAAATTTCTGGAACTGGATTAGCACAACAGAATACAATTGGTTTTTCTCCCATAGATTTAATCCATTCAGCTTTAACTACTCCTGGTCCTGGTGTTGAAAGTGAAATTAATACATCTGCTCCAACACATGCTTCTGCAATACTACCAAATTTAGTTGGATTAGTACTTTCACAAATTTCCCATTTTCTATAAAATCTTGTATCTTTTTTAATATCTTCTCTTTCTTTATGAAGTGATCCTTTACTATCAAACATAACAATTTTCTTTGGATCAGCTCCTGCTGTAACAATAAGTCTAAGACATGTTGTATTTGATGATCCTGCTCCAATAAATACCATTCTACATTCATGAATATCTTTCTTTACTAATTTTAATGCATTTAATAATCCTGCAAGTGTAACTGATGCTGTTCCTTGTTGATCATCATGCCATACTGGAATATCACATGTTTCTCTAAGAACATCAAGAATTTTATAACAATTTGGTTGTGAAATATCTTCTAAATTAATAGCTCCAAATGTATGTTGAATTCTTTGAACAAATTCAATTACTGCATCGGGATCATTCTTTCCTTCTTTATTCTTTGAATCAATACAAATTGGTACTGCATCAATTCCTCCTAAATATTTCATTAATAATGCTTTTCCTTCCATAACTCCAAGTCCTCCTGGTGGTGTAACATCTCCATCTCCAAGAACTCTTGTAGAATCTGAAACTACTCCTACAAAATTTCCTCTTAATGAATAAAATAATGATGAATCATTATTATCTCTAATATTAGTTGAAATTCTTGATACTCCTGGTGTATAATATGCATTAAACCAATTAAATCCTGCAAGTGTACATTTTGGCATTATTTGAATCTTTCCTTTATAAAATTTATGTACTTTCTCTGCTAATTCTTTATAGAATTGTGTTTTAGCAACTGCTCTTTGTTCTTGTGAAAGTGTACTTGGAAGACATTCTTCCAAATTTGAAAGATCTGCTTTTAATTGTGCCATGTTTATATCTTTTTAAGTTATTTTCTTATTTTTATGTCCTTTTCTTCGTGGTGCCACATCTTTCTTTTTCTTCTTTTTTCTTCATTTCTTCAACTTTTTCTTCATTTCTTCAACTTTTTCTTCATTTTTTCTATCTTCTTTTTTATTTCTTTTTCTTTTTTTTCTTTTTCTCTCTTCTTTTCAACTGAACTTCCACTTCCCTTCTAATTCTTTGTATTTCTTTTGAATTTCTATTCTTTCGTCCCATTTCTTTTTTTTTTCTTGTATTTTATAAACTAAGTTCATTTAATAAACTTAATCTAATCACTTCTCAATACAATTAAAATCCTTTATGTTTATCTATTAATTGTCCTTTTTTTCTTTCTTGTTTCTTTTTTTTTGTCTTTCCTTTTATCTTTCTTTGACTTCTTCTATTTCCATTCTTCTTCTCTCACTTAGCCCTTTCTTCTCATTGGTTTTCCTATCTTTTATTGTTCATGTCTTCATCCCTTCAATTCTCATTGATTCGACAATTCCACTTTTATGAGTTGAGTTGATAGATCATCTCATTTTAATTTCCTTGAGACTCTAAACTCATTGTTCTATCATCTCTTTGTCTACATATTGGAAAATTAATCAATATAAACAAAACCTTGTTCTCATATAATGAAACAAATAAATATTATAAGAAAAAGAAAATTATTTATAAAAATATCACATTATCACAGAATAAGAGAATGAACAAAAAACATTCAATAATACAAATAACCATATTTAAAGAGTACAACACAAAGAGAAATAACAGGATATTTTAATAAAATAAAAAGAATAAACCAAGAAAAAGAAAGGAGAGAGAATAAGACAAAAGAAAATTAACAAAAAATAACAAATAATAGATATTCCATAATTTGATTTTATGATTATTGAGAAGTGATTATTTAAATAATTTTATTATGTTCTATTTCTATGTTATAATTTATTTCTTGAATTTGTGATTTAGAAGGGTATTTTTTCTAATTAATAGTCATTAGTCATATACTTGTTGATATTGTATTTATGATTTTAGTATTTTTAATCTTATTATTGTTTCTTTATGTATTAATTTATTGTTAATATTATAGTGATTATTTCTACATATATTATTTCTCTATTTTGTCTTAATTTTCTTGTAATTCTTTATATTTATTTATTTGTAAATATAATTTAATTCTTTGTTTCTATCTTGATATATATCAATATCATTATTATATTATTTTTCTTTGATGTTTTGATAATATATATTGTTCTAACATTAAAATAAATATCAATAACCAATAAATCATTAATATAAATTATAATCATTTCATTATTATTAATACATTTATGATATTCATTAAAATCAAAATCATTAAAATATTTAAATAATATATATTTATTGATTTACACCCATAATTATCTTTTAATAAATGGTTCTTCTTCATTTCATCATAACATTATATTATTAATAAATGCAATTGGTTAGGACAGTGTTATTTTATTAAATAAAAAAGAATAAAAGAAAAAAAAATAATCATTAAGAAAAGAATTTTGGTTTTTTTTCTTCAGTAGTTTGTTCATCAGAATGAAATGAATTAATACAGTCGTCGTCTTCAGTGACAATTTCTTCATTTAATTTTTTTAATTCATTTTGGATTCTTCCTTTTTCAAGAGTTCTTCTCTCAAATGTATTTAATTCTCTTCTTAAATCATTAATACTTTTACATGAAATAATTATATTTTTGCTCATACCTTGTTTAATCATTCTAGATATAATCATTTGGTCAGGAGTAAAGTTTTGTTCAATTTCATGAGGAATTGTTCGATATTTTTGAAGTATTTTATTAATTTGTTCAATTTGTTCGGTTCGTTTTTTTGCAAGTTCTCTCATTTTTGTTTGTTTAGGATGTTCCATTAACGGGAAACAAGTAATACTTTCAAGAAACGGAATACATGTTTCAATAATATAAGGTAAATATCTAGGTAAATTAGTTATTCCAATGTTTTCGCTTCCACTCATTTTATGAGCAATTTTAACTAATTGCTCTGTTATTTCTCTTATTCTTTGTTCAATAGTACTATTTTTAACTTGACATTTATTTGCTAATCGTTGTCTATCTATTCTAATATGATAACTTTCACATACAATAGCATATATCCCTCCTACTACTGACATTACTTTTCTTCCTGCTTGACTTTCACTTTCTTCAATAAGTCCTTGACATATATTCATTATATCTATTATTTCTTCTTTTTCTTTTTTGTTAACGTTTATTGGTGTTACTTCATTAACAATATAATAAATACAATAACTACTATCCATTGTTAAATCAACTTCTTTCATCTCTTCATCTTTATCTTTAATTTCTCTTGCTATTTTAAGTATTTCTCTTGCTGGTGTTCTAACTGCTTTAGCAACTTCAATAAATGTTGTTTTTCCTTTTGTATTTACTATTCCATTCTCTTTTTTACTTGAATATTCTCTACTTAATAAATAAACTACTGCCGCAACAATAATTTCCCCTTTTCTTCCTCCGTGAAGTAATCCTATTTCTTCAAGTCTTCTTAAATACCCTAAAACATCATTTTTATTTATTTCACTTTTAGTTCTTTCAATTACTTGTTCAACACATCTTTCTAATTTTTTTACTTTTCTTTCTTCTTTGCTCATTATTTCTTGTGGCTGTCCATTAAATCCTCTTCCCTCTATATTAATAATGTCATTAACATATGTCTCATGTCCGTACACTACTAATCCACAATTTGTACAAATTCCTTCATTATCAATTATTCCTTGACATTCTGGACAGTATTTACTCATATTTTCTTTTTATTCTTTTTATTCTTCTTTTTTTAAGTTTTTAATAATAGTAGTTTTTATGAAATTATGAAATTCCAACCTGAATCTTTATTTTATTAATCAATTCATTCTTCTATTTTTCCTTCTTCTTTTTGTTCAATTGCGTTATAATCTATCTCAAGATCTTCTAGCATTGTAACAATTAGTGCAAGTTTCTTTTTCTTTTCTATTAACTCTTTTTTTAATCTATCTCTTTCTTTAATTAATTCTTCATGTTTTATTGTTTCTTCTTCCATTCCTAATATCTTTTTTTAAGTTCTTAAATTTCTTAATATGTTCTTCTTCTTTTATGAAAAAAATAAAAAGATAAAAAGATAAATTAAATTTATGTTAACTTAATTTTCTTTATTCATATTTTTGTATTAATGTTTGTTCTTTCATTCCTTCAACCCATTCTTTACTTGTGGTTGTTGCTCTTACAATTTTATTAACCAACATAAATTTAAGTAATTTATTCATGTCTAACTCTGTTTCTTTATTCCTTTCTTTATATTCTTTCCATGTAACTTTACCTTCAATACCAACTACAATTCGAAATATATCCACACGACTTCTTTTAATCATTGAATATTTTTTACAATAATCAATACACGTTTGAAGCATTCTTTCATTTTCGTATAACTCTAATATTTTCTTTGTACATTCATACCTTTTCTTATCTTCGATCTTTGGTATCATAACTACATACCCACCATATACAAGTTGTTTTAATCCTTCCGATACTATTTCATAACATGAATGGCTTTCTTCAATAATTTCTCTTCCTGTTCTTTCTCCATTAATATATGGTAAAATTTCATTTATTCCAATGTCTTCTTCCCCACTTCCTAGCTCGTTTACTTTAACTGGAACTTCGTCTATTCTTATTTCCTCTATTGGATTAGATGGGTCAATTGCTAATCTTACTCTCATTTGTATATTATTTCCAAATTCGATATTACAAAACCCATATGTGTTTAAACAATTTCTTAAATGTTTAATAATTTCTCCTAATCCTTTTCGTTTCTCTTCTTTTATTATATAATCTTCATTAATTTCTAATATTCTTAATTCTTTATTTATTTGCTTAATAATAGCCTCATAACAACTTATTGTTCCATCTGTTGTTCCTTCATCAAAAACAAAACATAAATTGAACAATAACGCATTTCTTCCATATTTTCCATGTTTTATCATTGTAGGATATCCAACATATGTTTTTCTTTCCGATGTAATTTTAACAAGTCGATTGCAAAATCCTTCTTTTGGAATAACAAAATCTGATATTGAACTAAATACCTCTGCTTCTACTGCTTTTTCTGGGTCTTGGTACACTACCATTGGTCCATTTGTATTATCAAACAAACAAAAGAAAATACTTGATACTTTCGTTCCCATTCTTTTTTCTTAATTTTCTATTTTTTTAGTTTCTTATTTTGTTAATTATCTTTTGTTTTCAAAAAAAAAACAATAGATTACAGGATATATACAGAAAATAAAAAAACTAATAACAAAAGAAGAACAAATCAATACCAGTCAAAAAATAAAAAATATAGAAGAGTATTGAAAATAAGTATTATCTGTATTGATAGAACTACAATAATTATCACAATAAACATTACAATATTAATAATTATCATCATAACTGTTATAATGACAATTATAATAATAGTTTTATGAACCATTTCACTCATTACTTCTTTCTTTTCATCATCATAAGTATTTTATCATGAATTCAATCAGAATCAAACATTATAGTATAAATAAATATCATAATAAACATAAAGAAGATATAAACATATCAAAATAAAGAATAAAAACAAATAAGAAATAAACGAAATGCTAGAGATAATAAAAGAGAATCAAAATTGAATAATTAAAAGAATTAAGAGAGTGTTTGGGTAAGAATATTAATTTTAATGATTTGATGAATATAATACAATTAAATGAAAGAAACCATGACATAAACAAAGTATTTGAAATTGTAGCAAATAAAAAAAATTAAATGATATTTAAATGATTGGATATAAATGAAGTAAATATATAAGAAATATAAATTGCATATTTAATAATATGAAATTATCAACAATAATATGGAGGTTATTAAATATAAAAAGAAATGTTTTCCTCCAAGTAATAAAGATGCAAGAAGGAGTAAAAACAAAAGGAAATATTAAATCTAAAATACTTCATATTGATATATTAATTTATTGTAAACACTGTCCTAACCAATTGCATTTATTAATAATATAATGTTATGATGAAATGAAGAAGAATCATTTATTAAAAGATAATTATGGGTGTAAATCAATAAATATATATTATTTAAATATTTTAATGATTTTGATTTTAATGAATATCATAAATGTATTAATAATAATGAAATGATTATAATTTATATTAATGATTTATTGGTTATTGATATTTATTTTAATGTTAGAACAATATATATTATCAAAACATCAAAGAAAAATAATATAATAATGATATTGATATATATCAAGATAGAAACAAAGAATTAAATTATATTTACAAATAAATAAATATAAAGAATTACAAGAAAATTAAGACAAAATAGAGAAATAATATATGTAGAAATAATCACTATAATATTAACAATAAATTAATACATAAAGAAACAATAATAAGATTAAAAATACTAAAATCATAAATACAATATCAACAAGTATATGACTAATGACTATTAATTAGAAAAAATACCCTTCTAAATCACAAATTCAAGAAATAAATTATAACATAGAAATAGAACATAATAAAATTATTTAAATAATCACTTCTCAATAATCATAAAATCAAATTATGGAATATCTATTATTTGTTATTTTTTATTTAATAAAATAACACAATGAATGTGAACATTTGAAATGAAATAAAACAAGAATGAAATATGAACATTTTCATATTCACCATTTCATTGGCAGATGAAATGTTCATATTCATTTGTTGATTTTATATTTCAAATAAACAATAATGATAAAAATCATTTCATTTCAATTACAATGAACAGTTGTGTTGTAAAACGTTCTGGATATTGTTTTCAACAAAGTGGATTTGATATTCCTTTATATTCAAATGATGATTGAATACACTATGACCATGTTTTATCATTTTCTTTATAAACACAAATAGCTTTTGCACATTTTCCATCACCTCCAAGTACAAACAAATAATTATCTGATTTGTCTCATAAAATAAATGCATATATACTTCATTAATATCAAATTTCATCATTCCCTTTATTCTTCCATTTGATTCTAATGAAAATAAAAATAATTTTGGATCATTTATCCAATAACCAACTTTATCATTTTTCACATTAACATATCCTCCAAATTTATTTCCATTTGTATTTTAATAATAATTATTATTGTTCTTTATTCTTTTATCAGATACGGATATGTTATTATTTCAATTATCATTATTTGAAGAAATAATA